AAACTTACAGGCTCAGTGGTGCTACACTAGCTAGCACCACATCTGAAAGGGACCTGGGGGTCATAATTGACCGTAAAATGAATAGGAGCCACCCATGTGATGCTACAGCTAGCACAGCAAACAATACGCTGGCACGCATCAACCGATGCATCTCCAGCACAACTAAGGCAGTTATTCTCCCACTCTACTCAGCCTTGGTGAGGCCACAGCTGGAGCACTGTGTCCAGGTCTGCGTGCTGCACTTCAAGAAAGATGTGGAGAAGCTTGAGAGAGTCTAGAGAAGAGACACTAGTATGATTAGAGGCCTGAAGAGCAAGCCATACGAGGAAAGGCTGACAGATATGGGACTATTCAGCCTAGAAGACCTTGGGGGGATTTGGTGGCACCTTACAAATATATCAGGGGTAAGCATCAGGGGCTAGGCGAGCAACTATTCACCAAAGTGCCTCAGGGGAAAACCAGGAGCAACAGTCACCTAGAAGAAGGTTTCAGACTAAATATAAGGAAAAACATCTTCATGGTTCATGTGACCAGACTCTGGATGAGACTCCCAGCGGGGTGGTGCAGACACCGACCCTGGAGATCTTCAAAAGGAGACCGGATGCACACCTTGCTGGGGTTCCTTGACGCCTGCAAGCGTTCCTGCCCAGAGCGGGGGGGCTGGACCCAACCATCTCATGAGGTCCCTTCCAGCCCTAAACTACTGTGAACCTGTGGGTCCTGGCACTGCCCTGGGACAGGGGGCTGCAACCCCAGGGCTGCAGGGCAGGCACAGGGCATGAAACTGTCCCTCTGACCAGCTGAGAGCAGCTCTTCCATCCCTGGGCTTGACTCTGCCTCCTCCCACAGCAGCCAAGGTACCCGGACAGACGGGCTGCCCTGCTCCAAGCGCACGGCTGGTCTGGCTGCTAATTAGACAGAGAAGTCCCGTTAATTATAGCGCGATCCCCTGGGCTCCTTCTGGGTGACGCGGTCCAGCTGTGCCCGTCTGAGTAGCTCGTTAGGGTGGGGAAGGAGCTGCCAAGCTGGGGCTGGCTCAGTGGCTCTGGCTGTGCCGTGCAGAAGGCCACTGCAGTGGGCAAAGCATATTGCAGAGCAGCCCAGTGAGACCCTCCCCAGCCCACAAGCACTGCAGCACTGTGGCCAGACTGCCATGGAGTAGCCAGTCCCCGCCAGGGTTCAGCCTCGGGCCAGGGACATGCAAGCACCTGGGCGGCTCCAGTACAGCGGGGAGAAGTGCAGGGGCTGGAACCAGCCCATCATTCGTGTACCATCCTTGCACCTTTTCCCTGCTGATCCCAGAGCCCCCCAGTACGGCACCTGGTGCCTGAGGGGCTGGAGGCTGAGACAGTCCAGTAGCCTGCAAGTCTGGGGCACCTTCAGTCTTCAGTGCTGGCAGCTGCAAGGGAGAGAGGAGCGGGGGAAAACCCAGGTTACTCCCTTCCAGTCTTGTTTTGTCACCCGCCCACTGTGTGACACAGGAGAAGATGGGCAAGAGGGACCTGGGGTCTGAGCCAGTCCATAGTATCTCCTATGCTGTCATGAGACCCACACAGGGACCAGGGTTCCCTGGGTGGAGGAGTTTGCTCACACAAAGCCCTCTCGGGGTCAGCGCTAGGCCCAGCCTGCCTGGCAGCTCCCAGCACAGAGCTCCGCACGGGCGCACAGCCGTTTTCCTCTGCTCTTTGCCACTATTCCTGGAGTCCTGTGTGGGCTGGTGTGACACGGCTCCACGGACATGGGCCAGAAGGAAAGCCCTGGGGTGGATTGCAGCCACAGTGCCAGAGGGAGCCAAGGCAGCTGGTGTCGCAGGAAGGAGCTGGCCGGCCCGAGCAGCCGTGTGCCCCTCTCAGCAAACGCCAGCATTTGTTCCCAGACCGACATGGCTTCCTCGGCCATGGCAGGAGGAAGGTGGTGGTCTCGCTGAGGAAGACTGATGCCTGTACTTGTACTTGGCCTTGCTGAGGCCACAGCTGGAGTACTGAGTCCAGTTTCGGGCTCCACAATTCAAGAAGGATGTGGAGAAGCTTGAGAGAGTCCAGAGAAGAGCCACGCGCATGATCAGAGGTCAGGAAAACAGACCTTATGACGACAGGCTGAGAGCCATGGGGCTCTTCAGCCAGGAAAAGCACAGGCTCCGGTGATCTGGTGGCCACCTATAAGTTTATCAGGGGTGACCACCAGGATCTGGGGGAGCGTTTGTTCACCAGAGCGCCTCAAGGGATGATGAGGTCAAACGGTTATAAGCTACTACGAGACCGTTTCAGGCTGGACATAAGGAAGAATTTCTTCACTGTCCAAGCCCCCAAGGCCTGGAGCAGCCTGCCATCGGAGGTGGTTCAAGCACCTACACTGAACACCTTCAAGAGCAAATTGGATGCTTATCTTGCTGGGATCCTATGACCCCAGCTGACTTCCTGCCCTTCGGGCGGGGGCTGGACTCGATGATCTTCCGAGGTCCCTTCCAGCCCGAATGTCTATGAAATCTACGAAATCCGTGTGGGACTATGCGGTGGAGGGAGCAGGGCCAACCTTGCACACATGAGAAGGCCCCGCTGCAAGTAGATGGGGTCCAAGGTGAAGTGAGGAGGAAGCCTCAGCCTGAGGAGGGGGCTGTGCAGGAGGCAGACTCCCCAGAGCAGGGACAGGCTGAACCCACCATGTGGCCCATCAATAGATCCATGGTGCATGAGGCAGGAGGGTTGCGAGCCCTCATCCAGCACCTGCACTGTGCAGGCTGCTACGTGCTCCCTGCGCAGCACTTTCCTTGGAGGGAGAAAGGGATTCCTCATTTTCATCCCACTTTTCCTTTGTGGAAAAATAATAATTTGCCAACTCTCTCCCACAGTGCAGTACTTAGCGGTGGCATCTGAAGACATTGATATAGGCATTTCTCCCCTTGATAGTGTCCTGATAGAAAGGGGTCATGGCATTGGCATCAGCATCAGCCAAGGAGGCTGGTTGCAGCCCTGTCTTGCCCACATGGCCTGCCTGGCAGCCCGAGTCGGGGTGCATGGCCTTGCACTTGGCCCCACTGGAGTGCATTGTGTGCAACCCAGCCCCATGCCCCAGCCCTGCTCCCAGGCAGCCCATGCGCCCGCTGCCATGAGCCATCCCTGCCTTCCCCCGCCCAGCCCTGCCCCCTGCAATCGTGCCTGGGCTACAGGACCAAGTGCTGCTGCCTTCCTGCTGCTAGGCACTCTCCACCCTCCCCACACCTCTTCACTCCCCAGCCAAGGCCCCAGCCTCCTCCCAGCCCCAGCAGCCTCCTCCGCCTTCTCAGCCAGCCACTGCCCTTGACCCCAGGCCCGCACCCTGGCCCGCCAGCCCTGGGCCCACCTTCTGATCCAACCGCAGCACCCGCTCTTCGGGGCCCCACGGAGGCAGGTGGGAGCAGCGCGGCAGGTGCTATTCTTAGCAGACTGGACCGGAGGGGCCCTGCATTTCTGGCCTGCTGAGCACTGTTTATTTAGGGCCGGATGCGCTGGCCCCGTGTGTCGGCCCCGGCGTGGCCGTGGGGGCGTGCGAGGGGCTGGAATGCTCTGGAGCTGCCAGCTCCCAGCCTGCTGCTCTCAGTCACAGGCCTGGGGGAGGGGGCCCGTCCGCCTGTCCATGAAAGCACGTGCTCCAAGGTGCTACACGGGTGGGCCGCGGTGGCGCCGTCGTGGCAGCCCGTGCACGGCAGGCTCTGCCACGGGCTCTGCGCGGTGGCCCTGGTCCTGTCAGGGCATCAGGGAGGGGAGGACACAGTCGGATCAGCTCAGCTCAGGGGGCAGGAGCCTGTATGATACCCAGAACTGCTGCCCCCCACCCCCATAGCAGTGGTGCCCAGCTGTGGCTTCCTCTCCCCAGGGGTGGAAGGGGGAGCTGGGCACACACTTACCTTGAGAGGAGAGTTTCTGCTTGCTTTTCTGGGGAAGATGCACTGGTGTGGTGTGGGCCAGACAGCTGGGGATGTAGCTCAACCCGGGGTCCAGAGCCCCTCGGCTGCCTCTTGGGACCTCCCTGCCTTTGCCGAGGTTCAGGCTGGGGTGCAGCAGGGAAGGGTGTGTGGGCTCTGCCCCTGGGGCACTGTCTCACCCCTTCAGGGCACCATGGCTGTGCCAGGGTGCACCGAGGCTCACAGGATGCATGAGCCACCAGGTCCCAGACCCTCCGCCCAGCGATGCTCCCAGGGGTCCTATCCTGGAGGCGGGTGTTGAGGAATGTTGCTATGACAACAGGCTGCACACCAGTCACATCCAGGGAGCCTGGGGCACGCTGGAGGGGGGTGGTCTGGGGTGCAGGATGCAGTGAGGGGGGCGGGCATCTGCGGGCATCGGGGTGAGCTGCAGGGCAGGGTGCAAGGTTGCAGGAATCTGAGACACCAGGGCTGGGGGCAGGGTTGTAGTGGGCTGAGCTGCAGGGGTGGGGGGTACTGAGATGGCAGGGGCAGAGGTCCTGGAGATGGAGCTGCAGGGATGGGGAGAGGTTCTGGGTGCTGTGATGTGGAGGAAACAGATGTCTGGGGTGGGGGCGAGATGCGGGGGGGGTGCAGGGAGTCTGTCGGGAGGGCAGACATGTGGGGTGCAGGCTTCTGCAATTTGGGGGGCTGAGGTCCTGTGGGGCAGAGATGCGGGGTGCTAAGATGCAAGGGAGCAGAAGTCTGG